TAGCAGATCATAGCAGCTTATGTCGGCCCTTGACATGTTTAACTTCAGTTTTGAATAGTTCAGAACACGGCCAGCCACCTCTGGTAGAAATCGAGACTGCGCTTGGGGTCGGTGATGCGGGTAGTGATCTGCCCAATCACCTTGCATAGTCCATGTGGTCATTCCACCAGATCTGCCTCACAAATGTCCCTCTTAGAGAGGCACGTAGTCCTGTGCAATGGTGGCGGTTTTGTTCGCAACCTTATTTGAGCACAGCGCGCATACAACGCGCATAGAACAAGAAGTGCCTCTGCTATATCGCCAGGCTGAGCAGCTGGGCGCTTCAGCCGCTCAGCCCTCTCCACAGCACTTGACTCAAAGGTCGTTTGCAGTAGCTCGATGCAAAAGCCGGCTGGATCTGGGCGAAGCAGGGTGCTCTCAGCAGCCCAATGAATCAGGAGAAACTCCACTCAGCCCAAGACGCACCTGTTAGATGTGTGAGGAAGCCGATGTCCCGAAACTGGCTCCCAGGACGAGCTCCCAAGCGTGCCTAGGCATCGGCTAGGCAGGTGGCCAAGCCTGTGGACATTTATTGTGAGACATACCATCGTGGTACATCGTGGTCATTGCATGTCATCGCCATGTTGCAATTCTCATGAAGCTTCTGGCTGACACTTGTTGCTACTACGACGATTCAAGCAATCTTTGCTACACTTGCCCTCTTGCTTGATCATGAGTAGTGTTCTTGTGAAAACTTTTGCGTGTTCTGCTCATACTGTTGACCTTGTGGTTGTTCTCCCGCTTTACAATCCCTACAGGGACAGAGCCCCAATATATGCGAGCCCGTGGGCGCACATAGCCGATCAAGCATGGAGGACAGTAGGACAGCAGCAAGGACTGCTGCCACAGGACAGCAGGACAGCTGCAACTTTGGTGTGACACGAGGGCAGGCTTTTAGACGCAAGTCTCGGGACTGATTACGCAGTACTCCAGGTCTGGTGTTTCTGAATTGAGGACATCAATTCCCGATGGTCGTGTTGGGTAAGGTTTTTTTGCATGTAACTGGTTGCGCGCAGCATGCTGATCTGACTTGAGCATATATTCGTTCTGCTCAAGTCCTTCTGCTAGCGTATACATTATTTGCTCAGCGGCCGAGAGGACAGAGAGTTTGGGCGTAGTAGTGGGGATCACTGAACTGGCTGATTATTCTTTACAATGGGTCTGGTTAGGATCCTGACTCGTTGCATGTAGGGGACTGCAGCTGCCTGGACGTCATCGACTGCCAGGCCTATCTTCCAGTAGAGGTCGCTCCCCCCCGCAGAATATAGCACCTTCAGGCATGAAACAGGTGGAACTTGTAGGGTTCGGGATGCTCGTAAGCTTGTCCTAGTCCTGGGTTAGCTGCAAGCGTTTCATTTCTAATGCCTTCAGTTGTCCCAGCACCTGGAGTTTGGGGTGAGTGGGGGCTTCAGGAATTGAAGCGGCTATAATCCTCGTGGCACGACAAAGCCATGAAGAATGACGAAGTATGGCTGCACGAATACAAGCAGTAGCAGCGGCAGCAGGAGGAGGAAGTCGCTGGGTATCTTGAGATGTGTTGCGTGTATGTGGAGGCCAGACAATAGTGTACCGACATCACTTGTTATCATCAGATGCTGAGAGTTGATGTGGTGAACAAGCTTTCGGACCGTCAGCTAACAGCGAATGTCGTTGAAGATGCTTGAGATGCTGATTCATGCTGTGGAAGAATATGGACTAGACACTGAGAAGCATGTTCTCAAGCAACTGACATCGTTGACAAAGCGACACGTGTCGTCACCCAACTCATAAGTTTAGGCAGTTCAGAAAAAGATTATGATCAATCACATTTCAGATGAGAAGTCCCAATCAAGGCCTTCATGAGCAGTGCTCGTTGCTTGTGGCCTTGTGGCTGCAGACAAAATGACTTGCAGTGCTTGCGTCTGGCTAGCTCCTTTACTTCCTCATATCATTGGGGCTAGGGTTTACTGCTAAGCGCTGTGATTCGCCCATGTAACGTCCTGAACCCATTGTCCCATTGCAATGTTTTTTCCCATGCACAAACTCACCCTTCCAACTCCAATCCACACCGGCCCGGAAACTCCATAAATCCAATCCCAAACCACTAGCAACAGGAGAGGGGACGAGGAGCAATTGTGATCGTAATTTGAGCAATGACAGTTATAGTTATAGAAGAAACCAGGGTCCTTCGCTCGCTCGTCGGCCACCCAACGCAGGGAGCAGCTCACGTTCTTGCCGGGCACACGCAGCTCGCTCTGCTCGGCCCCGCCCTCCGCACCAACCATCCCAAGGCCAGTCCTGCAACAGTAGAAAGCTGCTTTACTTGTTACTACCTCAATCATGGGCCTGCATAGATGCATGTGAGGTTCTGCTGAAGGTTTGCGAGGATTGATGTCGAAAGCGACTCTGACTGTTGTGGATATGACTCCTGTCTCTGTGATGATTCAAGTATGCTGTTTCAAATCAAATCATCACGGCCATGAGCATGCTGCTCAAGGCGAGATCGTTGCATTAAACACGCTTGCGACGCTATGGTTCTATTCGATGGGATTTGGTGTCAAAGTCCCGGCACCCGGCCTGAAAAACTAGGAAAAGGCAACTATGGTGATCACAATTGTCAGTGGGAGCGGCATTGGTCCGTCAGTACCTGCTGAGCAATCACACCGTGGTCATAGATGCAGGCATACGGCATATGTACTTGGTGGCAGCCACCTCGACCAGACTATGCAAACATCAAAAGATGCAGGCTGATGTGCTCAGAAGAGTTGAATTGCTTTTGACACATCCGGAACATGCCCTTTACTTCCTAGCTATTCAATCCTGTAGAACTCCCAGGTAGATGGCAGACGCGCTGGCGAGACGCGGAGGACGCAGGCCGCCAACATGGCTGCCCCCAATGTGGCCCTTCCCTAGCGGCCCTAGCGTTCTGCCAGAATGGACTGCAAGCGCAGACGGATTTGAGCCCAAGTTGCAATACACATTGCTACGACTGCAAACACCAAAATCTCGCTGACTCTTTCTTGGGGCTGACATCCCAAATCAAACTTCCTGTCCACCATCCCGTGTCAGAATCTTGGCAAGGTTCCTCTGCTTCAAATGCCAGATCAAAGCCGGAGTCCATGCTCAGTCATTACACCACTTCAGACGCTAATGGACTTAGGGTATTGCGCTCCCTGTGATCCGAGGGCTGTGAACGTTCTGCATGTGAGTGCTGTTCTCGTGATTACCACGTGCTGATACCTCTGTGCTGGAAATCACCACTCTTTTCATGATCATTCCTTTTTTGGATCGGCCGTGGACCATGAAGAGGAGCGAGCGTTGAAATCTTAATCCAGTCATGCTTGCTTCACAAAGCTATAGAAACGCAGTGGAAGTGCGAGTGGAGGTTGAAGTTCGTGACAGAACTAGTTGCGGTGCCTCGAAATCACCTGTCTTGAAGGGGGCAACAGTGGCACCTACTGGTGAGATTGTGACACAGGAGAAGGCGCGCTTCCAAGATTCGTCGTTCATTCAGATCGGCCATAGCAGCGCGCGTTGCAAATGAGAAGAGAAGGTATTTCGAGACTAAGAGCACGTGAGGCCTATCGAGGACCAGCAAAAAGAAGAGCGTGGCTGTGGCAGTCTACGATGCTCTGTCTGCTCACTCCCCCGGCCTGACAAAGCATGCTGTCTGTGAGGCTGTGTCCTTCAGGCACGTCCATCTTTTGAAGCCACAAGTCACAAGTCCTAAAAATGCTCATGTTCTCATCATGGACGATTTAAAGTGGAAATGATCAGCCATGACTTTGTCGGCACGGTGGTAGACCTAGTACTTCAGAAACGGATCTTTGGCCACCCAGACTCATCCTATGGAGCTAGTCAATGAACCAAGCATCTTCACAAGAAGAAGGCCTCGCAACCCCGCAAGTGCAACCGTCAAGGCCCCAAAGGCAAGAGCATGGCTAAAGATGCTGGCAACACTCGAAGCCTTTGGTCTCTGACTTCTGCAAGCCTCTGCAAGCATCATGAACATTAACAAAAATGCTCAATTGCCAGGGGTTGCTGTTGTTGGCTTTAGCAGCTCCAAGCACGCATGAAAACTTGGAGATGCCCGCACGAAAACTTTTCGCATGCGCCACAGCACAGAGCCTATGGAAGGCTGCTGAGCCATTTGTCAAGCATTACTAAGGCACCCCATTTGAGCCTTATTGCCCGTTGCAGCGAAGATGGCAAAGCAGCCAATGAACACATCTGTTGTAAAGCAGAATCCATGGGCGGATGAGAGCTTCAAGACAACTGATGGCAATCTGAAGTCCATCCCAGAAAGCTGCATTCTGTCCTCGCACACATCCAGCTCGACGTTTGTCGGGCTTCCTGCCAAGTCCGTCTGCATAAATCCGTGCTTTCGTACCTAGTATAAGAACAGAAACACATTCAGAGCACGGCCAATGGGGATCTGCCCTGGGCCTAAATAATGTCTAGATCGGTGTATGTCGTACTCCTGAATAAAGTTCGCGAGGAGTGCACGAGAAGCCGAGCAGCTCGGGGCGGGCCATGGCTGGGAGCGGAGGGAAACTGCTGCGAAACCTCTCGCAGCTGGTCACTGCTGGTTGTGGATGTCCTGGCCAATCGTTTAGAAGCTGCTGTGGCACAAGGCGCCTTGTTTGCTTTGGAAGGCGGTGCTTGAACACAGTGCAGTGCAGATGGATGCACATGACAAACATGTAAAGTGTATCTGCATGACTTGTTGCAATTGCGTTGCTTGCCCGTCGGCCTATATATGTGACAACCACTCCCCTGCATTCAGGGAGGCTGCCTGCAAACGCGAAGCTGTCTGAAAGACGGCGGCGGTTAAACACCAGGAGGCGGGCAACCAGCATCTGGACCATCGGGGCAGTCACAAGAAGAACAGTAAACAACAACACGAACAATTCTTCTCAAGATCCTCAAGCCTGTCATGAGCAGAATAGAAATAAGCAAGTTTATAGTTCCCCGCATCTCGCCTCCAGCTCGGGCCTGGGAAGGCGGGTTTCGCAGGAAGCAAATTTCGCAACATCGCTTCCTTCAAACAAAAACTGGTCAAAAACAACCCACTCATGTCACCCCATGGACCCCGTTTTTTTTTGCGAGTCTAGGACTTTAGACCATAATCACAGACAGACACGTTTTCGACTTTGGACAGAGGGCCCCTAAATCCTCAACGCAGACATCGCTTTCCGGTCTCGAAAATCATGCAAGTATGCCGGCCGCTGCAGAACGTTTCTACTCACTTCCCCTCAGGCCCCTGCTCACGCAGATGGTGCGCCTGGCAAAGCATTCGACCCAGTTGCATCAGAGCAATAACGCCGCACAAGAAGCCGCGCCGGACGGTCGCGCTTCAAGGTGTCTCGAATCTCATGAGTCGTTTTGCTATTGCTTTGGGAGCCACAAAAAACACCAAAGTGTCTCAGGTGCAGAGAGGAAGCCGCCGCCTCGGGCTCGCTTCGATCCTGCGAGCTCACTCGACTTACTAGATCTTCTTTCTTCTCGATTTGGAGGCCTTTCTACCTTCACTCTTGCTGTCCCTACCATGCACAACTCGGAATAGTCACCGCCTTGCAGACCTCACTGGCCATGTCGGATTGAAAGTTGGCTTGCCATTCCTGCAGGAGCACGGTATAGTCAGCTTGCGTTCGAGGCTACCATCTGAACCGCAGGCACAATGGTCTTAGGGTGCAGGTGCCGGGGCACTTACTTCGCAATGCGCGGACTGTCTGAAGGGTTAAAGTAGGATTAGAACAGGAAGCTCCATGCTCCTGCAAAACTTGAAGGCCATGAAGATCAGAACAGTGACACAACCACTTCTATACCAAAACAATACTTATTGAATTGTCTCGTCATGGGAACTGGCTTCTTCCTCAGACCTGGGTTGGCGAGGCCTCGAACTTTTGGCGCCAGCGCTTTTCAGCACGCTCCTCAGCCTTAAGCAGCATTTTGCATCTACTTTGTTTTGGATTCTGATGGTACTGGACTCGCAATCGCTTCTTCTCTGCATCTTGCACTGACTCTTATCAGCTTCTCCCAGGCGCCAGGCTCGCTGGCGCTCCTGCATGAGTTCCTGTGCCTAGGGCTCGCTTTTATCTCGCAGGTAACAAAAGGTTGAAAGGATTTCACTCGTAGCATTTCACAACGCAAAGTCCGAGAAAACGAAGGCTTCAGCTAAGCTGGCCTTGGCCTCTCTCCGCTTGCCGGTTTGGCCCTGCGGCAGAACCTGGGCTTAGCTGGGCAGTTAGCTGGGAACGTTTTGAATTCAGACTGCACGGGACTCAGATGACTCAAACCCTCTGGGCATGGCCACGATGCAGTGCAAAACAAGGCGCCTGGCCGTCTTCCAAAGGTTATCCCTTGCTTCACCTGCCAGCGTCCATTGGAAGGATCCAGGCAAATGGAGGTATGAGCGCACCTCCGTCGAAAGAGACATCGTAGGTCTCTTTGAGGAACTGCGTCTGGGCCGGGTTCAAAAAGCATCTTTGTAAGCCCCAGCCTCACTCTACACGGTGTTGGCAAGGTGGTCAGGCCGCCCCTCAACCAGCGTGCCTTGGGCTTCTCTCGCGACGCTCCTGAAGCACCGTGTAGAAGTCAAGATGACACGACTGAGAACAATACCGCTGCTGACACAGCTTGACACACGTTTGGTTGCCAATCTACTACGTGGATGCCACCCGCCAGAGGTTCATGCACTTCTCAGGGCCCTGTAGTCCTCAACATGCTTAAAACGATTGACACAGCATGAGCGCAGGCATGTCCACCTGGAGAGATGTCTGGCAGCACGCTCATGGCCGCAAAATGTGCTCTATCTTCTCTGCATTGGTTTGAAACTCTGGGGACATCATCATGCATGGCCGCCGACCCAAATCTAAGAAAAAAAGAGAACAACTGGAAACAGCGCACGTCTACATTCTAGCCTAACCTACTCTGCTGCGGGCCAAATGTCACACCAAAGCATTGCAATCCAGCGCACTCGAGAAGGAAATCATGGTGTCTCAACCTACCCCCAGCCCAGCTCAATGGACTCCGACCACTCGGAGGGAACAGATCTCGTCAGTATGAGCACCAGGACACCCGTTTTCGAGTCGCACTCAAAGCTAGCCTCCACGCCCCTTTATCGCCTCCTCTGGTGTCAGGAGGTTCAGAACCTGAAGCCAAGTTCTGAGGCATAGGCATACTGGGATAATGCTCCTCGCACAAGGCTCCAGCTCTATGATTGCCGTTCTTGTGGATATGGCTGTGCGAACCCCAATGCCGCAACTGGTGAAAGCCACTTCCCGGTTGCTTCTCCACAAATCACAGTCATGATCTGCCAACCAACGAGCACGGAACAGTTCGAATGGGACAAACTGGGACAACATGACAACACCAGCAATCAGATTGAAAAGTGTTGCACAAAAACTAGGAAAAAGTCCCAATATGGTTAAGCGATGTTCTTCACAACAGTCATACGATCATGAAAACGTTGATGCGAACTGTCACCGGAACACGGCCTTTACCTGCATTCTGTTGACTGAGGCACGCACGTCCCCCCGGGAAAGGTGGTCCTGAGCCACACTCCCTTGTTCGCACGAAGATGAGAGAGGCTATCACGGAACCTGCATACAGAACTCTTACCTGCCCTAAGCCTGGGAGCCTGCTGGGGCGCTTAAATCTAAGTGGCAACCACCCTCTCCTGGTTCACATGCGCTCGGTAGTTGCTCGTCTCTTGGTTGAGAGATGCCTTCAACTTCCCAGAACCATGTCTCATGTTGCCAATGTCATGGCGCAAGGCATACGTGCCTGCCTGGACAATCTCGTATCTGATCATGTCAGTGCCCGACTTCAGATCATTGACCTAAATTAGGCTGTTTCTCCTACCATTGCCGCACTTGCTGGCAATCTGGCATTTCAACTCCAAACGCTATTGACGCATGGGTTTACCTGGCATTGAAATTCAGATGGAGCTCAAGGGCATCTGGAGCAACCGGTGCATGCTTGCTAGATCTTGCAAGTAAGGAACAAGAAGTCACAGCTGTGTCCTGTGTCCTGACTAGACAGCCTTGGGTCTCTGCCAAATCGCCCTCAGACATCAGAGCCGCGTGCTTCCGAAGAGTACGGGCAGTCTCAGTCCTGGTGCGCCCATCAACTGCAATGTCTGGCCCAATGCTGGCGCAAAAGGAACCAGCTATACGATTTCAACAACAGACGGCACGCCATTTCTACCAAGATGGCACCACGAAGCAGGGTGCCCCCAGATTTAAGCGCGCTTTGGGACCGGGAGATTTGACATATTGTTGGAGCTGGGAGGATTGATAAGTTCGTTTCAGTCTACTTGGCCGTGGACGTTTCGTCCCAATGGCACGAGCCTCATATACCAAACAGAAACGAACCTGACAGTCAAACCCTGAAGCTTAAAGCCCGGGCATCTCGACTGCCCATCCATTCTAAGAAGATTAGTCTCGGCAAGTGTCTACTAGAGGTAGTGACTGGCAGTGGTTGTCTTACATGTCTTAAACGCTGATGCTCAATTTCTAGACAACATAACATATGCTCTAGTTTTGGTCATGCATTTCTCATCAGCCCTGTCGAGATACATCCGGAGCCTACAGTGGCATGCATTAGAAAGCGTGCCCATGTAACCCGGACTCCTTTATTTCTGAGCCAAGATCTTTACAGTTCGTTCAATGTTCTAAACAGTCCCTGCTTGTACAAATCTCTTGCCTCAGCTGGCGCTGTGCTGCAACATCATTTGCAAAGGTGATCTGGACTGCACGGCAGAAGTCTCGGTACCTCCACTGGCACTACATCAGCATCATGAGAAGTATACAGACCTGTAGCAGACGACTGCATGCATCGAGTCTTACCTGGTAATTAAACAGTCACGAATGAAAATTCAATCTGGAGATGATCGAATGGTTCATACTGAGCAAGCAATACCGCAAGCGGCGCACGCTGAAGCTACACGAAGTGATCGAATCGCCGCCATTATTACATCAGAGTTCGTCAAGGTGGCTTCGGTTTTTGCTGCTGGTCGTGCCATTGGCGGTGTGCTCACATATTGATGTCAGTCTCTGGAAGACAACAATTGAGTAATTAAGCAGCATGCAAGTGATCTGGTGCATCTATTTCTGATACGAGTAGGGATTGCTCGCGTCTTGCGCAAACAGGTCTGTCGCGCTGTGGTTCACTGGCCCGGGATCTTGACACATCGAGATCACTGATCCTGGATGTTGCGAGAGCTCAAATTCCACTGTCCAGGTTGATGCTGTGCCAGGGCAATTGAGGCGACTCCCCAGAACTCGTATGGGACAACTTGTTGTTTTGGCGCGGCAAATGCCTAGTTTTGAGAGGCCCCAGCCCTCTCTTTAAGGCCGGAGACGCTCCGAGCTGCCGGCGAGCCAAGGCCCGCTGGCTCCGCGTGGCTCAGTCAGAACTGCACGCGGCCTGTACCAAGCTCGGTGGAAAATACAATGGTGCAGAGGCCCAGCCTCAGCAGCTACAAGGGATGCCTGGGGTTTTGAACCCGCGAAGGATACCCTCTAAGGATGGAGCACGCCTCTTCTGAGCCGCACTAATTAGGGAAGGAGGTTGGGAAGGCGGGCATCTTGCCAACGTTGAGCTGCAGAGGTGACATCTTGGTGAAGACGAAGAGGTCCGCAAAAATCTTGAGAACACCGAACATGGACACCATCTGATCCCGCCACAGGTCCAAGTAGAAGAGTAGGAACTCCGCAACGAAGGTCCGGTCGGAGCTGAAGCCGTTGGACTGGAAAGGCTGGGCAAACAGCTACAAACTTCCCTTAAGCCTTGGAAGATTTAAGGATTCCGTCTCGATATGGCAACGAGCTATGTCCCTTTAAGCTTCGGCTCACGAAGTCACTGGACCCTGTTAAGACTCGCCAAGCATGGCCCATCTCGCCTTGCCTTCCCCGCACTCTGGGTCGACCAGTTGCGCCTGGCCTTTGCTTCCATCTCTTCCTCACTCGGAGCTGCTTGAAGGTACCTCCATCATTGGTCTAACACAAGAGCTAATGTTTCAAGACCTCCCAGTGTCGGGCATGGATGCTATGACAACCTATCTTGGAAACCTCGTGAAGGCTTCAGAATACCAACAAATTGTCAGCAAGTGCCCCGGTACCAGGTGATGTACTGAGCCATGGTCAATGCTCGGGAAGGGCCGAACTGGTAGAAGGCCGTCGATGCGGAGATGAGGCACGGAAAGTTGGGCACCACTGCATGATGGTAGAGTGGGACCTGAAGGCTCAAAGAAATTCTGACAGAAGATGTGAGAGCTAAGCCTGTTGGCCGATTGATTTTGTCCCAAAACACAAAAGCAGTTCTGTGATGCACATTCGCTGTGATGCGCATTTCCTAGTTACTGTCCCCGAACTCATGGGATATTTTGCCCCAGCTACCTGTCTGTTGTGCCCATGCGAAGTGGCCACTTTGCGTTCAACATAGAATTTGGGAGTCATACATGGAGGCAACGCCCAAGTTTCATATTCTTTGGCTGACTGTTCGGGTCTGTCATTGTCACCACTACTAGTCAGTATATGCTGGCCACTTACTTTTGGTCACTTTTGGGAATCCCACCTGCTTGTTTGTGGGGAGGACAACAATGGGCTTCGGGGGATGGTGCTGTGTCATTTGGGGATGATGGCCGGTCCTTCTTGGGGATGCTACCCTGTTAGCTTAAGCACGATGGCAAGCTAGTCGAGTCTAGCACTGACAGCTTGTTAATCAAGGGATGAAAATCGATGATAGAGGACGTGCTGCGAGAAAGTATCTCAAGGTAGGTTCAGATGTGCTTGGAGATGGTGGAGCAATGGTTTTGGGGAGGAAGGCCAGGGGCAAAGTTAACTTTCTGAGCTACTACCAGGTTACTACCGGTGACATCTAATCCATTTTCTTTTGTATGTGTCATAGCTCATCCGCATGAAGTCCTCATCCATTCACCTATGAAAGGATCAGAGGCGCATCCTCTACAGTGACCACCTCACCATCCTTCACAAGCTTCAGGTCGCCAAATCCTGTCTCACAGCCAGTGGCATAGATCACCACATCACACTTCAAAGTTTCGCCGCTCTCTAGCAACAGACCCTCCTGGACAGGGTAGAGGAGTTTGAGCACATTACAATCTCTACACCAAGTGGCAGCCGAGGGCTGCAGTCCTTGGTCACAGCCTTCGGCTCCCCTTGCTTGGCAGCAACCTGTTCAACGAAGTTCACCTGCTTCTCATCCAAGACTCCAAAATGGAAACGTCGGCCGTCGAAGTGCTGCGGCAGCGCACCTGCAGCAATTTTGGCTAGGGCTAGGCAGCTGGTAGATTGAAGAACTGATATCCTCACGACTGTTGCGTGCACCCTGGATTCCGTGCCTTCAGATTTGGGCAGGACAAAATATCCGACAAGCCAACCCACAAAGACAGGCAGCTTGTTCGAGACCAGGAAGAGGAGCAGGCTGAAGAGAAATAGAAAACCTCTCAGCATGCCAAGGGGCGAACCTCCATGAACCACGGCACCATACTTCAGGAACCAGTAGGGAGACCGGAAGAGCCAGGTAAGCCGTTTGTAGCCTTTCTTCTGGAAGGCACAGATCATGTCGCATCCGGACTTGCCACCTCCCACCACAAGCACCTTCAAGTCTTTCTTGATGATCTCGTCCATGACTTCTTCCTGTGGCTGGCTTTGTGGAGAGCAAGCACTGCCAACACACTACATCTCAGCAAAGGGGTCAACTCCTGGTTCCAGTGGTTCAAGGACAAGGCATTGAGGAATGTAGGACAAGCTTCAGACAAAACAAAGCAAGGCCATATTGTGGGGAGGCCAATATTTGAGGCTCAACGCCTTGAATTGACTGGAGTGAATCAGCTTGCCCTGGAAGCCCTGCGCCGGGATCTTTGGAAATGACGCCTTCGCTGCGAAGGAGGAAAACACCACGAGGCGGTAGGGTCCTTTCTCTACCTCTCGCCCGTTGCTTTCCACGGAGAGGTAGGCGCTCTGCGACTTGGAGTGGTAGCGGATCTCCTGCACAAGCGCTTGGGTTGAGGGCATCCTTCAAAATCCTCTTTTAGACTTCAGAAAACCAGGCCTACGCTGCAGACTTTCCTTGCCCAAGTTCGGGCCAAGCAGGTGACCGGATATTGAAACTAGACCCTGGTGATCCCGAAAGCAATCAGTTCGACGTTGGCAGGGACGCGTGTCTGGCCATGTTCTAGATTCTAGGCGCGCGGTCGTGGTGCGGTGTAGTTGCTGTGGCGTATGTGTGCGGTGTAGGTGGCGTGGTGTGTGTGTGAGCGGTGGAGGCGCTTTGGTAGGTTTAGAGTTTAGAGTTTAGGATTTAGAGGAGGGTTTAGGATAGTGCGAATGACTGACAATAGCTGCAGGAGATCATCATTTTTGGCGCCACGCGCGTTGCAACAGTCGCAGCACGTTGCTATTCGCTAGATCGAGGACACGAAGCTACATTTCGGTGAGGCGCACTCAGCAAAGCTTGCAGACCTGACACAAAGGCTAAAAGCTTACACCAGTACAGAGCAACACATCATCACTGCACCGTTGGCGAACGAGACTTATTTCGAAAATCAAGCGTGCGCAGCAAGCACTAAAGCATGGAAAAGCTGGCCCTACACAGCACATCGACAAAAAGCATATCAGCGCTCGGCGGCTAACTTTCATCAGAACGCACCTGCACAAAACAGTGAGAGGCTCGTCGACTTTGAACAGAACTGTCAGCGCGCTCTTCACGCCAGCGCTGCCACCCGCCGAAATCAGCGATAGGGTCGTCGCCTCCAAACGGAACTCGCAGAATGCTCCACGCGCCAGCGCCGCCACCCGTCGATTCCAAACCGAATTCGCAGGACGCTCCACGCGCCAGCGTGGGCATCCGCCGAAAACAGCTGGAGGCTTCACAATCCACATCAAAAATTCGCACGGCGCTAGAGCGAGAGCGCTCCAACACGCTCGATACCCGCAGAGGGTTCGCCGGCCGCGTTGAAAATTCGCACGGCGCCACAATGAGAGCAATTCGACAAGCACGATCCCCGCAAAGGATTAGCTAAGCCACCCTGAAATTTGCCTGGCGCCACAGCGAGAGCGCTCCGACACGCATGAAACCCGCAGAGGGGTGCATCTCGCCTACCCCCGCCAAACCCACCCAAGGCTTAGAAAATAAGAAAGAATGGAATAGAAGCGTGTACGTGGTGTATGTCAGCGGTGTAGGTGCTGTGATGTGGTGTAGGTGAGAGGTGTAGGTGCTGTGGTGCGGTGTATGTCAGCTGTGTAGGTATGTGCTGTGATGTGGTGTATGTGGTGTATGTGGTGTACGTGGTGTATGTGGTGTATGTGGTGTATATGAACAGTGTAGGTGCTGTGGCGTGTGCAAGGCAACCGGTTTTTGGCAAGCAACCCTTCGCGGTTCTTTCGCGAAAAAAGCACAGAAGGCACCACAGCGCCGCGGTTCCGCCTAAGCTAGGTTTAGAATCCATCGCCTTGACCCTGCTGTTGCATTGGATCTTGGGTTTGAGCCCCAGCTTCTCTGCAAAGTCCCCCAGGTAGACTCGGACAGACTCGGCATCCAGCTTTTGGAGCAAAGTCTCGCGATTCATGCCCTTGAAGGGAAAAGCCTGGCCCTTGTAGGTCATCAGATTCCTCGGAAGAAAACTGGATCTTGCAAGGACTCCCGAAGGCCCGCTTAGTTTCAACCCCAATTCCAGCCCTTGATCGCATTATTTTTACACCGTAGAGGTTTCGTCGCCCCATTCCACCAGCCCCACCTAACGCGCCATCAAACTCATCTTGCCACCAACCTGCAACATGGAAGGCCCTCCAATGTTCCACTCCAAGCATCGTGTACATGGGGCTATGTACCTGCAAGCCATGGTAGCTCATCTCGGGTGTCCAGGTGCCACCCACCTCGCTGCGGCTCTCGAAAACTTCTGCCTCCACGCCCAACTCCTGCACATTGCCCTTTCAACCTCCTTTGCGATATGAATTCCTACCAGATCTTTTGTCCTGGCGAGATCTCATGTTTGTCAAATTTTGAGGCCTTGCCGCTAGGAACAACAAGCGCCAGCCATTTGTCGCCTCAAAGGAACAGGCCTGGACAATCCCCCAACAATCAGTCTGGACCCTCAACAACCTGGACAATCTTCACCAAACAGCTTCCCTGTCCTTCAGGCTCTGCAGCATCTGCAGGCCAGCCCAGCCAGCGCCGATGATGGCCACCTGGTCATGCCCAAATTCCTTTCTTTGTGTCTGCGCTCCAAGCTAGTCTAGCGTATCGCGTTCAATGCATCTCTTGGACAGTATTGTCTTTGTGGAGGGATTCTGAATTCTCTGGCCACCTTCTCCGACTCCATGGCTGGCTGGTGCTGGACGAAGGAAGACAATGGAGAACAGAATGCTGGCTGGAGCCGAAAATCTTCTGCTGAGGTTGCCCCTTCCGCTTCAAAACCTTGAAGTAAAAAAAGCTGAACGAAAACGATGAATCGCAGCAAACGCTCTCACCTAGCCCAAATTCATGCTACGCGCTTCCCCTTGCAGACTGAAAGCAGGCACACTGATTTTGTGCTATGATGTGCCCAGGCGGTGAGCGGATCAGACTGCTCCTTGGTGTTCCAACACTGCAGTGGCCGGGCATTTCCCGCACCGAAGCTGCCTCACTTTGGGCCACCCTGATTTGTAGTGTCGGGCAACAAGCTCAACAGCACGTAGCACCCTGAAACAGGATTGCAGTTCAAAGAACATTGAGCTCTCCCGGGTGGGGGGGGAAGCTGCAAGCAGCTGTTGCACCTGCGGCCTTTTGACACATTCGCAGCTGCTGGTCAGGCACCGCTGAATCCAGCGCGGCAGGACGCACAACTCGGCTCAAAGGATCTCTTTGTGTATTCCTTGCTTCGATTGAAGGCTATGGTACCTAGGAACGACCAGCGAGTTAGGCTCTGGGACTGTGGCAAGCGGCGTGTCAGCTACAACGTGAGAGCTGTGAATGATCCGCAGATCAGAAAACCTCTGCATAATACTGGTTCTAGCCTGTGATGCGCATGCCCGCACCTGCACCAGCGTTCTTGTGCCACCGCTGTCCGCCCCGCCTTGTCCTAGATCTGTTCGGCCTCTATGGCCCACATTCTGGCTGCAAACATCCCTAATTAACTTGCCCTCCAGTCCGCAAAACCAGCTGCAAGTGCTTCAAAATTAAGAATGTGTTGAATTGATCCTGCGGACAACATGGAGCTGAGTTGTGTCGGGCTTCTGGCTGCTATCAGTCTCGCTTGTCACATCTTGTCATTCTTTTGCAGCAGGAACGACTGCACGGGGAAGTCTCTGCAAGTCACAGCGCGAACGCAAAGCGCAAACGCACAGCACGAACGCACAGCAACCGACCTGGCCACAGATTCCTGAAAAGTTGGGCCATCATCCACCAGGCCCACAAAATTACCAAGTGGGTTTGGAAAACTCAGCTGAGGAATTTTGGCCAGTTTGCTGGCTCTGCCCTCTCGTCTCTTGGAGCTCAAGGCTTCAGATCGGATGCTTAGCTATCGAGTGGCGGACGATGGAAGTGGCGAAACCTGGGCACCGACTCTGCTGAACTCCAAGAGAGATCACAGGAAAATTAGCGCTCACGAGGCGGAGCCTCATGAGCTGGGACCTCATCAATCAGGGTTGGTCAATCAGTAACCTGTGTGCAGAAATGGCTGCAAAGGAGAATTTGCCAGCCAACATGACCGAAGCTGAAAGAGAACCAAGGCGTGAAGGCCTCATGAAGCGCAATGTCTCGTAAGTTCGGCAACGGGGCGCCGCTTCACAGCGACACAGGCCAGGCGGCGGCGGAGGCATCCTAGTGACCGCGAAACACCCCAGCAGACTGCGTATGGCACTTTGCGCGGCATATATGACATCTTGCGTCGAACTGCATCCCTGGAATACCCAGCGAGAGCGCAGTACCTGCACGGCTGGTTGGCTAGGAGCGGTTTCCGAAGTTGATGCCGCTGGCAGTCCAACTAAGCCGCGTGGGATGCATGAGATGCCCTTTGCAGCCCACCCGACTGAGTCTGAGGCGGTTAAGGCAAGCGAACATCTTCTGGCTCCAGCAGCGTGGCAACTTCAAGGGCTGCTTGCACAAAAATTGAAGGAAAATGTGAGCACACACGGGCATGGAGCATTGCGATTTAAGTACTTTCGAGCGCAGGAGGCCCATGATGGGCCAGCGTTGACGCAAGGCAACTTGTCGTCGCCATGGAGCAAGCTGTCCCCGCTGCGTAGCACGCAATGTTGCACACGAATCACGCGAACACAGGGCCAGAAAAGGTCTCAAGCCAGGGCCACGGCCACCAGTGGCAATCATGCTGTCCTCCAGACAGGCACCACCAGGCATTTGTGCAGTCTGGCCTTTCTGCAGATGCGGCATGGGGCACCTCAGAGCTACCATCACCAAGCTCGTGCTAAGGCCGCCTCTCATATGCGGCAGGCTGGAGGACTTTGCTGTTGGGAGACTGACCCTGTGGCCCAGTGTGAGGTCTTGGAATGTCTTGGGCCTCCGTCGTTTCCGAGCTTTGCCCACCTGCACCACCGACGCCCGCGCCTTGTGACACAAGAATGCTTGCTGAAGGAATGGAACCGAAACTCGCAACACGGACTGCCACTTAGGCGCAACATGACTCACCACCCGGCAACGCACGATCTTACTCCAGTCTTTGTCATGCTTGATGCATGCCTTGAATCGTTCTGTGGGAGCAAAGCCGTGTGTAAGCGTAGCGCCAGCTTGCTCGCATCACCGCATCAGTGCATGAACCTCCTATGTGCGCGGCACAGGTGTTGCAATCCACAAGAGCTGCGACGGACAGCTTCGGAAGAGGAAGCTGCTGCCCGCAGGGTGATACGCGCAGACCATGTGTCCCGTCCGCATCTTGCCTTGCTGCGAGCAAGCATCCTCAACAACCTTGAACCCCTTACCTGAACGCGAAACCACGGCCGCCAAAGAAGGCACACACGATGAAACCCAAATCGGCCTTCAAGGTGGGAAGATGTGGGAAGTGACGAAATGAGTGGCCAAGAGCAATTGCGAGTTTCATAATGTCTCAGTGCTGCACCTGCACAGGGCACATCGCTTAGGTGTCGATCGGAAGACTTACCAGGCTTGCTTAGGCAGGCATGCTTTTGTCTGAATGTGCCTCACGCAACAACACATCAAGGGGTCTTGCGAGCCGAGAGTTGGCTCGCTTCAGAAACTGATAAGCACAGCGGCAGTCTCATGTCATTCAAGTCAATGCAACGCAGCCAAGCCGACGCTCCTCACAAGCTTCGCCCTCGCTTGCTGTTTTTGAGGCTGCGCTGCCTGTGTCTTCATGGAGGCCCGCGCAGTCAGGCCAGATCTGTCAGATCCCGTTGCACTCCTTCGCGCACTAGCCGATCACAGTTACGCGAAGTCTCTGGAGCCCAGGCTTCAATTAGTCGTCTTGACCCTGGCGTCTTGCATAACCCGTCATAGCACAAGGCCCTCTGGGCCCTGGCGTCGTAGGTCTCAGCAAAGCCTCCGCTTCGTCCGCTTCTGGGCCCTGGTTTCCAAGTTTGTCAACTCGTCAACTTGGATAGCAGCGGCAAGTCTGCAAGCCCATTGGTTACAAAACTGGATCCGACACTTGCGAGCAGTGTGGCATCCATTTGAAGAGGCGCCAGGGTGTTGCCCTGTCCACCTAAGGACCTATCGCACCTGCGCTAACAACAGCTGAAAAGATCATCTCTAATTTCAAGCAACTGAAAACAAACAGGTCGCGGTCTTGAGCGCGCTGGCTGAATGACAAACAATGGCAAGACTACAAGCCCCTGGGGCCACAACTGGCAGAGGTTTTCTGCCCAGGCAGCGTTGCACTGCGTATGCACGCAGCCATCCCTGCGTCATGGCTATGGCCTACAAAAGAATTCAACGAAGAACATGAAGCTTTCGTGCGTACTCACACATGTAAATGTACAGCTATAGCAAGCAATGAATGGCAAGTTTCAAATGCATCGATTTCAGCCTGGATTGTGCGAACTTGCTGACACCAGTGGTCTGCAGCGATCTGCTTGTTCCGCTGTTTGGCTATGCTTCTACACAGCATAGTGATCCAACACTTCACGCGGCCACGAAAATGAGCGAACAAGCATGGGGCACTTCCTCAAAGCGCAAGCAGAGGTTACCAAGACGCCGCGATCGCCACGATCTATGGCTTGGAAATAGTTAGACTACGCACAGGCTTCGGCACTGCCTGGATTTTTTTCGGCCAAAGTCCCGAATGCCGGGTCCAGGAGGATTTGTGGTATGTACAGAGCTGTGTATAAGCGTTACTCTGCCCCGACCTTCCACATCACCTCCATATTGCTGATGCAAACAAGTATGCCTGGCTTAAATCTCGCTGTTGGAACTTGATTCTGAAAGGAAAATGCTCCTCAGTCCAGAAGCCTGGAAGTGTTGGCGTGAACCAAGCGCACGCCCTCTACAGCCATCATTCAAGCGCATACCTCGGCTTCAGCAAACAACAAGTGGCTGAGCCTGGAAATCCAAAGTCTTGTAGATGCTGCGCCTTGTCTCTTGGGTGTCATAGAGGGCTGAAGTCAAGGAGGTCAGTGGCATCACAAGGATTGGCATCGTTCGGAGATGGATTTTCCCGTAGCCTGTGCGAATGTCTATGAAAGCATCGAAGCCATCCTTCTTTGCAGCGGATTGCTTGGGAGATTGGGCCTGCAGAAGAAAACTATGAAGACTGGCTAAGCTAGTGCGAAGCTGGCTTCTGGGCTAGTTCAATCTCAGAATCCCTACCTTGCGCCTCTGGGATACATCTCAACACAACTTAACTGTTAAGGCCTGGAGCTATACACTGCCTTCTGCTCATGCATGTTTGATACCAGGGATTTTGTGTATTGCAGCCTCAAAAGCAGGCAAGCATGCTGACGAATAGCTCACCAGTCATTTTGCTGTGGGAGCACCTGGAAGACATGTGCAATCGAAGGACCTGAGCGTCTTCGTCTTAAAGGCCAGATGAAAGTGGAAGATGCGTGCCATCATTCCTACATGTTGCCCGGCTGTGTGAGCTACATGCGGGGCTGGTGGCATCAAGATCTTGACATTTTCTCGCATCTTACCGCTTGCCTAGGACAGTTCGGCATTGCGAATAGTCTAGGTACCAAGAAAATCAAAATCAAATGGCAGCGAGCGGAGCCCACACTACCACATGACAACTTGCAAAACATGGGAGTCATTTGAGTGCAGGCAGCTTGGCCCTCCCGTGGCCAATGCCCAACGTGCTACACCATTCTTGAATCTCCAAAGAACCTAAAGCGCTCAACCTGCGAGACTCAGAAGTTGTTGGAGAGGCGGGAGACG